ACGAAGTTGATGTATTTGTTTTTAGGGTGATATGCTAGACAGAATGTGACAGAATGAATAAGTAAGACACTTGTGGTGACTAAAGTAGATGTCGATATGCTATTTTTTGTTGATCGTATGATAGATGTTCATAAGCAAAACAACTCGTGTTTTTTTCAAGTTAAATGTGCTATATTGAATTTACTAATAATAGTCTAACCCTTTAGAGACCGAAATTTTGATATGTATTTTGAAATTATTTATATTTTTTTTTTTTTTTACAACTACGAAGGAACAAAAAGTACTATTTATACTGAGAGCACAAAGCTCTTTAATAGTTACTAAACAGAAAACATGCTAACCATATGTTAAAATAAAGTAGATACCTATATAAAAGAGGAGAATAAGATATACTTTTTGTGTTTATTTATTTACAAATGGATTTTAAAAGTGAGTATATTTATTTATTCTATAAAATAAAGAGCAAAAGATTTTAATATAAAAAAACAGTAAAATCTCAAGTAGTAGTTGTCAGAAATTAACTAGAACTTGCATAGCATTTAAGAATTAAACTAAAATGGGAAAACTTAAATAGATTACGGTTTTAATAAAAATATTAGAGAGAAATAAAATAAAACATCTCACACACGGCCGTCTGATCCCAACCAGACTGCTATTAAACATACTTTTAGATCAATAATACTCAGACTCAGAACAAATGAACATACTTAGCTGGCTTAGCAGTCAGGGTCACTAACCGCTGAACCCACAGTCCAATTAAATTATTATAATAATTATTTAAATTCGATATTAATTACAATAAAAACAAAAATATGCTGAGCCATTGCCTCGTTATAATATTCATTAAACTGAATCGTAGGTAGCGTCGTGCCACTTTTCACGAAAAGTCTCCGCTGTGGAAATTGCGACCAGCGTCAGGGAGCACCATGACCAAGCATGCGGCATTAAGGGGCGAGCGGGTCGTTATGCTAATAGACTACCACGCTTACAAAACATTTGTAAACACCCACAACAACAATAACTCAAATCGGAACCTAATCCGGTTAAGTTTAAAGTTGATTTTTCTTGACTTTAGGTGAGTAGTTACGCTATTTCTTTTGTTGTAGATTATACAGGTCTGCGTGTCCACTGCCTGTAGTCGCGATAGCAGGAAAATGGACGGTTCACAACGTTTATGGCTTACCTGCTTGTGCTCCGATTTAAGGCTATATATCGTCGTAAATACACTACACGTAGCTATGGTGCGATAAGGCGCCTTAATAAGGTTTATTTTCTAAACAACCGTGGTTTGGTGTCGTTGAGGTTGAATTTTACGATCCTAAGCTTTTAGACATTGTTTATAAGCGGCCAGTTTAATCAAACGAAACATTATCTCAATTTGTAGACAACAGAAGTACTGCTTTTTAAACTGAGAAAACTTTCATTAGCAAAAAAAACCCTTAACAATGAGAAATATCTTTAATATTTTTTTAAAAAGGAGTTATCTGCTGACTCATACAAGACATGTAACAGAAAAAATGAATGAGATAATCTAAATGTTCAGCTCAAGTTATATATGTCCCAGTACATGAAGTGTTAATCGATAAATGCAGTTCAATATTTTATTTTCTAGATTCATCAGATTTTGCTTTAATCACAAACAACGCTATTATCAATTTGTACAAAAAACCTCGAATGTCTCTACTCTTCACTGAACTCTCTAGAAACGATTAAGTACAAGTGTAAGCAATTTGAGTGTATTTTTGCACTGTAGTGCAGAAAGGGCGGAAGCCAATTAATTATCAACTCTATTCTGAATAGTCGTATTTATTGACATTGGAATTTTCTCAAATCTTTGCCTACTGTTTGATGATATGACAATGATACAAAATTTAGAGGGGCATGGCTTACTTGTTGGTAAGCGGCAGTAATGGATCTAGTTAAATCTTTTGAATTTTCTGGCAACCTAATCAACGAAAAAAACCAGCTGAAGCTATGCCTTACATTCTTTTCTCCTTACCTATTAAATATTTTAACGGCAAACGACTTGCCTTCTTTTGCGATAGTAAATATGAAACGCCTCGGCCTAACTCTTACAGGAGACTCACGTGTACGTATATTTATATTTAGATTACTGATTATAATTGCTTTTACTATTCTTACGGAGAAGTAAAGCTCTTTGAATTAAATGTCGTTTCTCGTCGTGAACTTTGAAACTTTTTTGGTTTTATATCGATACACTGAAAAAAAAAACAAATTAAAGTCTCTTAAACAACTCTGTTCTTTCATCAATTTTTACTATCTGTCTACGGACACTCTAAAAATAGTACAAGAAATAGTATCAGTACTCAGTAGTAGTAAAACAAAAAAAGGTATGCATAAATATAAATTAATAAACTGCCATAAGCGACCGCGACAAAAAAAATCAAGGTTGTAACAGCTTGCGAGTGTTCTACGTGAGAAATTCAGACAACAAATAATTTACTGTCGTACATGTAAAAATCACAACAAAACACACAAAAGTATCTGTGGTTTTGTGGTTTTCTGCTTTAAAGAAAATAAAACAGGCTAATAATGCGAGCGTAATGAAAATATCACAATGGATAATAATATGAGAAATATTTACTCTTTGTCCTTCCTACTTTTTGTTGGCGTAGTAAAACATTTTACACAATAGCGGTACTTTAGTATCGAATGTAGTTAATTTGAAGCCCTATACTTAATAGTGTAGTAATTATTAACTCAATAGCGCTGTTGTGTACAGGACGTTTCTCAAACGTAATGAGAGCACAGTAATTTTTTTATCACTGAGTAAAGCTTTCATACTGGCGCAATTCACTATCAATTCACTAACTATGTACAACTATTTGTAAAAATATGCTCACTCTGGAGTGATCATATTTTTACAAAGTTCCAGGATGTCGAGTAATAAGTAGACGTAAACCTCTCTCAAAAAAAAACAGCAATACGATTTAAATATTTTAATACATACGTGAGTTATAACATGGCAGATTCATAAAACAAAATCTAACTTGATGAAAATGATCATTTGACACATATCACACGCGCCGTCAGTTGATTAAATAGAGCCTAAATGATGGGAACACAAACACAGGCATTTTAGGTAAGATGAAGAGAGAACAAATGATTTTGCCCATGAAAAAGTTATTTGCCAAAGGTAAATTAAGTAATAGAAGTCACGACCTATGGCTCAATATTCAAAATATTCAGTTCAGTTTTGAAGAAAACTTCATAGACAGAGAATATTTTATGCCAAGAATTCATCATTTATTAAGAGTCTGAAAAAGGTTTATCGAAGTCATAAGAAGTCACAAAAGTCATCATTAACAGCCTATAATAGTCCTCTGCTGGACATATCCAGCAGAGGACTATTATAGGCTGTGCCTCTCCTTAGAATGGAGGTTTTGGCCTACTATACCACGCTGGTCAGACGGGTTGATATAGGGTTTGGGGTGCTAGCTAGAAAACCTCCCCGTGGTGCACCCTGGAAACGCTGGCGATGGTACTGTTTCCTCCTTGTCCTCTTGGAGGAGAGGATTATCGCCAGCGGCCAATATTCTAGCAGAAGAGGTAGCCGTTCATCGGCTCTCGGGCAAGGCCTGGTCCAGCAGGGTGGGCGTGTCTGCCGGTTGCCCTGCTGGCTCTTCGCTCTTCGGAGCATGGAGGAGGAAACCTCGGTAAAAAACCTGATGGCGGGGCCCTGTAGGGGCCACAGTTTCTCCGCTGATAGCGGTGGAGAAAGGAGGACGGGCTCGGCGTGTACTCACACTACCACCGAGCAGGCAGTGGGACGTAGTCTCCCTGTCAACCGTCGGCATATCGTAATCCCGAGAAGAGCGCTGTGGTTAAGTCTCGCGGCTCTGATCGGGGGGCGAGGGTCTTGGCTTAACCGCCCGGACCGCGAGGAAGATAACCTCTCTAAAAAATTCCCCGAATCCCGTGTTCTGGTGCGTGGCCAGGGGATGCATGGCTGATGGGAAGTTCAGTCGCGAGCGCACTCCAAGCCGAGGTACCTGCGGACCCCCTCGGTTGGGTTAAAAACTTACGCTTGCCCGGGTAATGGGGGATCTCTGCCCGGGTGGACCTTTAGTTCTCCCCCACTCGTGGGATCAATTATGGACAATAATAAAACTAACACAAAGAAAACGATCGGAACAAAACAACAACAAAAGGCAAGCAAAACGGACACTGCAACGAAATGTGCAAGGGAGAAGAGGAAACAGTGGAGCGGATGGGTCGTCCACTGAGGTGTGAGATGGTGTCAGGAACGCCTATCTCGATGGGGCTCCCAGAAGTCAGTCTAACGCTGGTCTCTGGGAGCCGAAGAGCATCGGATCGTATTCGTTCCGGATCCGCCGTCCTCCTCGGATGGCGCGGAGGCCATGGAGGCGGAGCGAAGCGACAGCCGAAAACGCGGACGCTCAGGGGACGTGGAAACCGACACGTCCGGCGAAATGATGCCACAAAGGTGGCAAGCAGCCGCCGAGGGAGGGCGCGCAAACCGGCCTCGGCCCCGGTCTTAACCCCGTCAGGCTCCGCGTTCTCAAACGCGGAGTCCTACAGAAGTGTTACGGGTGGACGGCGAGGCCGTAGCGGAGGAGGAGATCGCGGATCTCCTGCTCAAGGTTCGGGAGCCGGTGGGGGGAAATGCCCCCCAGGCTCCCGTGTCCGTGCAGGAGAGGGCGAAAGCGGCGGTGGCCGTCATCGACAAGGTGGCCACCAAATCCGTGAACCTTAAGGGCTCGTTTGTGAGGGCCCTTAAGGACTCCTCCATCCGCTTTGTCGGAGGTCGTGGAGGGCCTAGTGGGCGACGTGACGCGCCTACAGGTGGCCAACGAGAAGCTGACGGAGCGGCGTGAACGAGCTGAGCGCTCAGTTCGCCCGCTCCAGGCGAACCTCCCCGAGCGGGAAGCCCCGTCCGCGTCCCAGCCTGCCCCCTACCACCAACTCAGGGGCATTTGACTTCCAACTGCGAGAAATCCTCATCGCAGTTGGGGAATATGCTGGACGGACGCCTGGCTGGCCTGGAGGCGGAGACTGCCCCCCTGAGCCGATTATGCGCTCCCCCGCTCGCGTCGGCACAGCGGCCTAAGGCCGCCGCTCCGACCGCGCTCCCCGTTGTGGGAGGCCGCGTTTCTTACGGCGGCGGCGGCGTCTGCCCCTACTCCATTCGGCCTCCCCAAAAGCCGAGGAGGGGGGGCCAAGGCACCGGCCCAGGCGCCGGCCAAGGCACCGGCTAAGGCCGCCGGCCAAGGCACATCCCCAGGCGCCGGCCAAGACGGGCTCTAAAACGGCGCCGAGGAGCGGAGTTGGCATTCCCTCCGCTCCCCACTCCGACACCCCTGCCGGGCCCCTCCGCACCTGCCCCCTCCAACGAGGGTTGGCAGGAGGTGAGGGGCTCCAAGAAGTCCCGAAGGCGGGCCAAAAAGGCTGCCAAAAAAGCAGCCCAAGCCCAGCCTTCGCCACCGGTGGCAACGGCCTCCACAAAGAGGCCGCGGAAGCTGCAGCCGCCAAAAACCGCGGCTGTAGTGGTGACCGTGTCCCCGGAGGCGGCGGACGGCGGGCTGTCCTACGCGGCCGTCTTCAAAAAGGCCCGGGACAGCCTCGCCAACGATTTTTGGAACGGTGGGGGTCAGGATGCGCCTCGCCCAGACGGGAGCTCGAGTCCTCGAGTTCCCTGGGGCTGAAGGCGCAAAGACGGCGGACACGTTTGCCGAGAAGCTGCGGGGACTCTTTACAGCTACGGATGGTGTAAAGATCGCCAGGCCTACTAAGTGCGCAGAGCTGCGCATCTCGGGCCTGGACGACTCCGTAACGGCCGAAGATATCCGCGCTGTAATCCGGGAGAAGACGGGGTGCAGCGCGGACAACGTCAGGGTCGGCACCATCCGCCCCGGTCCAGGAGGGCTTGGCGCCGTGTGGGTCAGCTGTCCCGTAGTGTCGGCCAAAGTATTGGCCGACGCCGGCAGGCTGCTCGTCGGTTTCGTGAGCGCCAGGATCACAGTCCTGGCGGCCGAGGACCGATGAGGTGCTACAAATGCCTTAGCATCGGGACACACGCGCGTCAAGTGCGACAGCTGTTTTGACTGCGGCGGACTGTGTTTCCGCTGCGGTCAACCGGGGCATAAGGCGGCAGAATGCTCTGCCGCCCCTCACCTGCCCAGTGTGTGCGGCGGGCAATAAGCCCGCCAATCACCAGATGGGGCAGAGAGGCTGCAAGCCTCCCCGCAGTTCTCGGCAGACGTCAGGGGCTAGCCAGTCGACCCAGGCTACCCCCGACGTCAATATTGCGTCGACGTCGTCGCCCATGGAGGAGGTTGTAGAGACGATCCAGTAATGGATCAAGTCCTCCAACCTCCTGGTCCAGACGAAACCTGAACCACTGTGCCGCGGCGCAGGATCTTTTCCTGCAAACCATGGCACAGTGGTCGATAGGTGTTGCCGTAGTCGCGGAGCCCTATTCTGTCCCTCCCCGTCCAAACTGGATGGGTGACTGGGACGGCTCCGTGGCAGTCGTCGGTTCCACGACGGCTCATTCCCCGCCCTTGTCGCTAAGAGACAAGGGCACTGGATATGTTGCCGTCGAGTGGGGGGGGATCACCATATATGGTGTCTATTTCTCCCCCAACCGGAGTTTGAACGACTTCGAGGTTTTCCTAACCAGTTTGGAGACCTCGATACGGCGACTAGCGTCTGGGCACGTCCTTGTGCTGGGGGACTTCAACGTAAAGTCCATTGCGTGGGGTACCCCCAGGACGGACGCCAGGGGCGAGGCCGTAGAGGAGTGGGCGGCCTCGGTGGGCCTCTGTCTTCTAAACAGAGGCTCCACCAACACGTGCGTGCGACAGCAGGGGGGGTCGATAGTGGACCGCTCGTTCACTACCCCTGCCCTCGCCGCACGAGTAAGGAACTGGCGTGTCCTGGAAGAGGTTGAGACGCTCTCGGATCACCTGTATATCCGATTTGAGCTCTCCCGGACCCAGGACTCCAGTAGGGGTCACGTGGCGCGGCGTTTATCCCGCTTTCCGCGGTGGGCTGTTGCCAGGCTGAACCGGGACCTACTAGAGGAGGCAGCCATAATTCACTCGTGGCTGTCTCCTCAGGCTCCGACCGAGGAGGTCGACGTGGGGGCTGGCCGCTTTCGCGATGCGATTACGCATGTATGCGATGCGGCCATGCCCCGCGTTCGAGGTCGTCGGCCTCCAAGGAAGGAGGTCTACTGGTGGTCCCGAAGCTGGCGGACTTTCGTGCGGCCTGTACACGTGCCCGGAGGTCCTACACGCGCAGTCGGCGGCGTCACCGTGGAGACGGTGAGGAGGACCGGCTTCATGAGGAGTACCGACGGGCGCGGAAAACTCTGAAGCTGGCCATTAGCCGCGCCAAAGAAGAAAAAAGACAGGAGATGCTGGATGGTCTTAATCGTGACCCCTGGGGTCGCCCTTACCGCGCGGTGCGACAAAAGCTCCGCGCGTCGGGCCCCCCCCTTACGGAGACTCTCCAGCCCAGCTTCCTGCGAGAAGTGGTTGAGGGCCTTTTCCCACAACGGGCGGAGCACACTCCCCCGTCGATGGCCTCCTTGGCCGGAGACGACGGGGAGCACGGGAGGATAATGTTCCGCCCGTCCGGGAATCGGAGGTAGGGGCGGCTGTTCTACGGATCCGTTCCAAGAACACCGCCCCTGGGCCAGACGGGGTACCGGCCCGAGTGCTGGCCCTAGCCCTCAACCACATGGCAGACAGGCGGTCTGCCATGTGGTTGGTCGGGGAGGTGTTCGACGCTAGCTTGGCGTCGGGACGCTTCCCTGAGTGCTGGAAGAGCGGGAAGCTGGTCCTTTTGAGGAAGCCGGGACGGCCTGCCGATTCGGTCGCGGCCTATAGGCCCATCGTGCTGCTGGACGAGGCGGGCAAATTGTTTGAGAGGGTTCTTTCTGCCCGCATCGTCCGGCACCTCTGCGAGGTGGGCCCCGATCTGTCGGACGCCCAATTTGGTTTTCGGGCGGGGCGTTCGACGGTCGACGCCGTGTTGCGCCTGAGGGCCGTGACCGAAGAGGCCGTGAGCTGTGGCGGCGTGCTGTTGGCGGTGTCACTGGACATCGCCAACGCATTCAATAGTCTGCCATTCAGCTGCATCAGGGAAGCACTCCACTATCATGGGGTGCCAAAGTACCTGAGGCGGCTAGTGGCAGACTATTTAGAGGAGCGTACCGTCGTGTACGAGGACCGAGAAGGTAATTTGAGGTGTCGGCCCATGTCGTGCGGTGTTCCACAGGGGTCTGTTCTTGGACCCCTCTTGTGGAACATAGGGTACGACGTGGTCAACTCGGTCCTCGTACCGGTTCGGGCCCAGATGAAATATCTGGGCCTGATCCTCGACGGGAGGTGGCTCTTCGACGAGCACTTCCGACAGCTTGCTCCAAAGCTGGTCGGCGCTGCGTCTGCCCTAGGGGCGACTTTTGCCCAATATGGGTGGACCCAGCGTCGCGACAAGACGGCTGTACACGGGGGTTGTCCGGTCAATGGCACTGTACGGTGCACCGGTGTGGGTGGCGGCTCTGACCGCCCAGAATAGGGTACGCCTCTGGCGCCCTCAGAGGGTAATGGCGGTCAGAGCCATACGCGGTTACCGCACCGTTTCGACGGAGGTGGCGTGCGCGTTGGCCGGAACTCCCCCGTGGGATTTGGAGGCGGAAGTGCTCGCCGAAGTTTATCGGCGAGTGGCTGACTACCGGGCGGAGAGCGGATTTCGCCCTCCGCCCGAGGATGTGCGCGAGTGGCGCGAAGCCGCTCGCCGAGCCACGATGGCTCGTTGGTCGTTCCGGCTGGAGACTCCACGCGCTGGCTTCGCCGCCGTGGAGGCTCTCCAGCCGGTCATCGCCGAGTGGGCAGGGCGGCAGCATGGGACCCTTTCCTTCCGGCTGACGCAGGTGCTTTCCGGGCACGGTTGCTTCGGAAAGTACCTGCACACGGTCGCTAGGAGGGAACTGAGTCCCGCCTGCCACCACTGCGACTGCAGTGAGGACTCGGCCCAGCACACGCTGGCGGTCTGCCCCGCGTGGGCGGCGCAGCGCCGGGCCCTCACTGCAGTCATCGGAGTGGATCTCTCGCTAGCGGCCGTAGTACGCTCCATGGCCGGTAGCGACAGGTAGTAATCTCGCGGAAGGAGGCGGCGGAGAGGGCCCGGGAGGACGACCTCCACTCGGACCCGATCCGCCGCCGGCGCCGCCGCGGCGTGGCCGCGGGTGGACGGGGTGGGTTTCCCCTCCACCCGCATTAGTTGGCCAGCCGCGAGGGGGCAGCGTCCGCGTGTGCCGGACGTCGCCTAAAGAGAGGAACATCTACATTGAGACGGAGCCCGCACCAGGAGCGGGCTGGCGCTAGGAGGGGTCCGGATGTCTTAACAACAGCTGTTCCCGGATCCCTCCTGTTACAGGCGTAGAGTGGCACACCGTGTGGTTTTAGTCGGTCCGAGTCCGACACACCACCCCGCCGCAAACCCCGGAGGGGTGACGGTCCGAGGGGATTTCCACACGTTAAAAAAAAAAAAAAACAAAAAGGGTTTGTGTCAAGTTTTCCTTCTCTTTGCAGTGCTATTTTTCTGTGTAGTTTGCTCTCTTAGTCAGCTCTTACGACACCCACGGGATAAATAGGGGTGGTCACGGAAACACTGGTAACAAAAAGTTGAATGGTCATATTAATTAATTCCAGTGACAAAAATATAGACGAGGCATGTACCTAAAAATCTCTAATTTTTGTTTTCCATTTCATTTCAATTTTAATGGAAGTTTATATCTTCAATGCAAAACATACATGGCGGTAATAAATTATTTCATAATCTCCTTAGCTTGTTCTAATCAATTAGGTAATACTATCATATTAAAAACCTCTAAGGCAAGTACAAAACTAGAAAGCCTTAAATTGATACGGCTTATTAAATAATATAAGTGGTGTTATATCATTAGATAATTATCAGAAAAGGACACGCATTCACCGCCATCTTATCCATAGGTACAATAAAAAAATTGTACTTCAAAGGTATACAAAAAACATAATGGTTTTCGATCGAAAGCCGTAACTAGCTATTATGGCACTTAACACCCTAATTACCGATCAAATGCTGTTACCACAAAAGCTCCATCTCACATCGTATTTTCGACTTTTGTGTCGTAAAATTCTTTAAGTAAGACTTGCGTGTATTTAGGCGTATTTTAAATTACTTCAGATACCTTTCACCATTACTAGTTCGGGAATAAAAAGATTCACTATTATTTATCAGGCGCAATGACCTTGAAATTATTTCGTTATTGTTATATGTTTAAAAAGGTTGCCATTTATAAAAAACTAACAGTTCAACACATCAGCTGCGGCAGCGAGGTATTTTATAATTTTGGAACCTCGGGCACAAACAAAAAATTGCAGTTACTTTAATAAAAAAGAAAAGTTAATCGTCACAATTAAAATTATTAAATGATTTGTGACTATACATAGATACACCTAGTATTGTGACATCTCCTACTAGCAATGTAAGAATTCCTTGAGAAAGATAGTTCTTATTTCGTTTTTTTTTGGAGCGAAGTGCCTTATCGCGCGTTGTGAAAGACGGAAAAAATTCATACGAAAATTTGAAACGACACAATATAAATTGACGTCTAACTGTGGATACCATACATTAAATTTGCTTTAACGTTCGCCAACGTCCATACCATGTTGAATACACCGGTTCTCGTCCGATCACCGAAGTTAAGCAACATCGGGCGTGGTTAGTACTTGGATGGGTGACCGCCTGGGAATACCACGTGATGTTGGCTTTTTGCTCTTTATTTTCGTGTCATCTTGTCAGACATTCAGCGCCATCTATCGAATAGATAGGAAATCATTTCGCAAGGAGATTTTACCAATGTATAAATTGTTTTAATTGTTTTTAATATGTAGGTAATAGCCGCTTTCATAGATGACGTTGTAATTAAAATCATGTCAAATCAGTTTTACTCGATCGTCACAACTTCGTTCCTATCGGGTGTCCCACGACACCACACGGCTTTTTTAAATTTTTAAGTAACGATTATGAAAGGCAACTAAACTTTCCGCAAGCGACCTGCCACCCGGGGCATGTGCCCACTGGCCCTAGGGTAAATACTCCACAGACCTGTGGTAGGTAATACCTAAAGTTTACAATCACTCCGATAAAAGATTAAATACCCATGTCGATTTCATTTTAGTTAACATTCCCAATAATCTAATAGAGTTCGTATTTTAGTTGTTTACTTTAAGTGTTTTAGTGCCTAAACTCTTTATCTGGTTTTTTAAGCACTTAATGTAATGCATAAACTACTTAACTTAACTTGTTTTTGCTGACATCTCACCTTATGTTTATTTATTTGTTGTGCATACACTTTTCTGCATGTGGTTAATGTATCTATATATCTACTTTTTATTTTCTATTTGTCAACTAATTTTATTTTCTTTTTTAATCAGTCTTAGTGTTATAAAGAAAAATAGTTTATTTTTACCTGATGCCAACACATCTAGTATTTTTTCCGTGTTTAGAATAAAAGATGTTAGGTTAAAAACTCTGATACTGACAAAATTAGTTTATGAAAGAACAAAACAAAAATTTTACTTAGCAAACATGATCGCAAATTTTCGCTTCGGCACCAGAAAGCTGAGAAAGTGCTCTTGCTCTATTGTTAACAGCGGTAGCCATGCAATTATAGATGCAATGGAATTTCAATATCGAGTTCATGTCATGTGGGAATAGGAAGGAAAAAAGTTAAGGATGAAAAAACTGAATGGTTTGTAAGTAATATATCAATAATTCCAGGCTCCAGATTAACAGTATTGGTCTACAGTTAACTGTAGACCAATACTGGCAAAAGAAGAAGGAGGGTAGTAAGGATAATGCAGTGAAAAGTATACTAGCATAGTGCTCATGAATGGATTGGGAGGACTCATCAATACCATTCCTGTATAAAGTGGTTGTTACCAGAGAGTCCAAACCCTCTAACATAACAGGTACTCTTAAGATAGGGTATTGTTAGCACTGAGTTTTATAATGCAATAAGAAGCAATTCAAATTCAATTTACTTAATTTCTAAACGTCAAAATCGATTGCAACTAAAATCGCATATTTAAATAATTAACTTAAATTGTTTTTTAAATTTAATTAAACACAATAAATAATGTATTTAAATATTTCAGCCACTCTGGGTACCCTCACTACTCTTGGGTACTAAGACCTTCTACGTTAACTTAAATAATTTATGTTTCTACATCTTTGGATAAGGAACCCTAAAGGTACACAAATAGGTTAATTGACTCAATCGAAATGTGTCATATATTTATTTTACTATCCTAATAAGATTACAATTGGACTTTTATAGGATTCAAGGTAACATAAGAGCCTTTAATAACGTAAATACCATCTGAATTGGATAAATAGTTATAACTAAAGTACACTTTCTTTTTTGGTAGGATAACCACATTATATATTGGGTATATATTATTATTTAACATAACAAACAAGTATGGCTACTAGCCGTCAACATAAAAAAAGCAAAATTATTTGTCATTGTTGCAGTACTTTATCTTCCATGTGTTTTCTAATAATCTTGTTTAGACATGTCAACAAAACATGACTCATACAAGTCTGACCTAGTAAGATCATTTTACTAAGCAGTAGGGGTGTTTAATTTTGTAGGCTTTTTGCGGAATGTCCCATTCGAGAGGCAGGTGCGGCCGGTCTGCGCTCCCCGTCGACGCTAATGAACACAATGAAGACGTATTCCTACGAGTATATCCGGCGTTGATCGATTGATTTACTCGCTGCCACCGCGCTCGAGCTTTTTGTATTCGAATGTCGCCCGCCATTTGCATATCAGACTCTGTTGGAACGAATTTTAAACAAGACGTACGATGGGAGCCCTGATGTACTAGATACGCTAAGCCAAGGGGTATCACTATTTGCATATGAAGGAGCTTTATAGCTATTAATTTACTACATTTTTAAAATAGTAGGGGAAGGGTAAGACGATTTATAAGGCATGATAAATCACCTGAGCATGTTTGTAACTCCTTTCGTTTTTGCAATTTGGTCGAGGTTTATCGAGAATATGTGACGAGAGTTCGAAATGTCATGTACGGTGTCGGCTTTATCTCTACGTTCACTGAATGTTCGCAAATCAGTCATTTAGATTACTAGGCGACTTACGTAATAATAATAACGTATTTTTTTATAAATAATATTTTATTAATAATTTACGTTACATTTTAAGAAGTTTAATACAAATTCAATGATGTTATAAAATATATGTACATATATACCTACCGTATTTTTTTAACATATTAGCTGTTTTTAAATATGTGGACAAAAATAGCGATAGTACATTTTAACACTACGATAATGAACTCGATAAGATAATGTCGTCTATTTCAAGAGTCGACATTAAAGCGATCGACTAATCAAACAACATCTGCAAAGAAAATGTGTTGCCATGCATTAATTAAGCGTATAATGCTCATTCTGTTAATTGAGCATGTTCAGATAATAAGTCGTCTCCTATCTATACGTATGAG